ATTAAAGGTATAAATGTTTAAAAAAATATGTAAATAAGAAAAGGATTTTAGAATAAAACTATAAATACATGGATATAATTCTTTCATGATACTTCTTGGGTAAAACTCCTAAATGGGATTTTATCAATAAAAAATCCCATTAAATTTGTCATGGTTATAATAGTAGGAAATCGCGCGATTGGTAGCTCGAAATCAACACGGCTCGAATGGCCCCGAGTCCAACGACGTTGTTTTCGGATTTTTTTTTTTTTTTTGCTTTGCTCTTTGAAAGATGAAGACGAGAGAGAAAGAGGAAAAGCTGGGTTCATCTTCATCAACAACAGAACACAGAGAGAGTGAACAGAGTTCATTTTCATCATCAACAACACAAGAGATCTTCATTAATACAAACAGACTTTCATTATTTTTCAGTTAATTTCAAGTTCGTCAAGTAAAGGGGCTTGCGCCTGGTTTTTTCTAATGATTTTTGGGGGTCTTTGCGTGCTTTTCAATTATTTTTTCGTAAGATCTTCAAGACAAAATTAAAATTTAGTAAACTCTTTATAAAAACATGCAAGCCCACAAATTCACGCTTTTAATTTTTTTTTCGTTGTTTTTCTGAAGGAAAAGAAGAAGGGAGATTAAGAAGAAGAAGGAGTCTGCTACGGCTGGGTCTGCAGATCTTGTTCATCATCTTCTATCAACATCAACATCATCTTCATCATCTTCAACATCATCATCATCTTCAAATCACAAAAAAAAAAAAAAATTCCCTTGGCTTCAGATCTAGATCAACATTATCATTCATCAATATTTTTTTTTCCAGATCTAGATCTACTTAGAAAAAAAAAAAAAAGTTTGAAAGAGGAGATCAGGCCGTTCGATCGTCGCCACCTATCACCAACCGCCTACCATCGGGCCGTCTTCTCTCCTCTCTCTTTCTCTTTCTCTCTCCTTTTCCTTTGTCTGTGTTGAAGGAATGAAAGGAAAGAATGAAAAGGGAAAGAAAGAAAAAAAAAAAAAAAACAACTTCCAACGTTCGTTGGCGCAGTTCGAGCATCGACGGAACAAAATTTGAGTTACGAGTCATTTTTGGTAATACATATCGGTGTTGTCTCCTCAAAAAGTCTTCCCATAATTTTTAAAGCAGTCTTTATTTTCCAAGACTACTTCAACTTATTATAATTCAACACCAAGCCTTTCCTCCCATATCTCTTCCCATTCATTCATTCAATGAATCATTCTCTCTCCCAAAATGGAACACTTGAGACCTTTGGTGATCAACTAACCTTTCTGCAAAAGAACTAGTAAAGACATCAGAGTTCTCTTTCTGGCAGGATGAAAGTTCACTACTTCGTTGTCTCTATTCTCCGGCTGGACCCTCCAACGGGCTATATACAACGGGCTTCACAACCCATGTGATATGGAGGT